GGGATGATTTGGGATGGGGGAATTGCAGGATTTGGGATGGGGGGAATTGAGGGATTTGGGATGGAGTGGGTTGTGGGATTTGGGGTGGATCTGGGAATTGTGGGATTTGGGATGGGGGAAATGGCAGGGGTTGGGATGTGGGAATGGGGCTCTGGGTGTGGGAATGGGGACTTGCCAGTTTGCACCCCAGGGCTGGGGGGACCATGCCCATCCCATGCCACGTGTGCCAGGTTTGGGATGCTGCCCAGGGGGTCAGGATCTATCCAGGGATCCCACCCAGGGAATGACGTCTCTGTGCCATGTCCCCGTGTCTGTGCCATGTCCCCGTGTCCATGCCATGTCCGTGCCATGTCCCCATGTCCGTGCCATGTCCCTGTCCCCATGCCATCCCCGTGCCATCCCCGTGCCATTCCCAGCGGATCGAGGGCCGCGTGGCCGCCCTGCAGAACGCCCTGGACGAGTTCTACAAGGCCAAGAACGACTTCGCTGCCAAGGTGAGAGTGCCCGGGGACACCGGGGACAAAGTCACCTGTGTCTGACCTGGGGACAAGGCTGGGACAGGGCTGGGGACCCCAAAGCTGGGATGGAGACTCTGGAACTGTGACAGTGACCCTGGGGCTGGGCTGGGGACACTGAGGCTGAGACAGGGACACCAAGGATGGAATTGGCACATTGGGGCTGGGACAGGGACTCCAAGGCTTAAATGGGGACCTCAGGGTTGGAATGGGGACTGTAGGCTGGGACAGCCACTCCAAGGCTGTGACAGAGCTGGAAAAGGGTGGGACAGGGCTGGGAAAGGCGCCTCAGGTTAGGATGGGGACCCTGGTGGTGGGATGGGGACATTGAGTCTGGGACAGGGACACCAAGGCTTGATTGGGGACCTCAGGGTTGGGATGGGAACTGTGGGCTGGGACAGCCACTCCAGGGCTGGAAAAGGGACTTCAAGGATGGGACAGGGCTGGAAAAGGGACCTCAGGTTGGGATAGGGACCCTGGGGCTAGGCTGGGGACATTGAGGTTGGGACAGAGACACCAAGGCTGGGCCAGGAACTCTGGGACTGGGACAGGGACACTGAGGCTGGGCTGGGGACACCAAGGCTGGATCAGGGACCTCAGGGCTTGTACAGAAACCCCAAAGCTGGGATGGAGACCCTGGAACTGTGACAGGGAGCCCAAGATTGGGACAGGGACCTTGAGGCTGGGCTGGGGACATTGAGGCTGGGACAGCCACCACAAGGCTGGGCCAGGGACCTCAGGGCTGGGACAGGGGACATGGAGGCTGGGCCAGGGACCCCGCAGCTGTCCCCGTGTCCCAGGCCACGGAGGAGCAGATCAAGCTGCTGCGGCTGCAGCGGCACCTGCAGGAGGAGCTGGACAAGCCCTACCTGGACCTGTCCCTGCACGACACCGTGGCCACCCTCATCCTGGACGGGCACCACAAGCGCGCCGAGCAGCTCTACCGGGACTTCAGGATCCCTGACAAGAGGTGGGCACGGGCTCTGGGGGGGCTGGGGGGGCTCCAGGGACAGCCCTGACCCCCCGTGCCCCTGTTCCCAGGTACTGGTGGCTGAAGATCAACGCCCTGGCCACCCGCGGGGACTGGGAGGAGATGGAGAAGTTCTCCAAGAGCAAGAAGTCGCCCATTGGGTACCTGGTGAGAGCTTGGGCTGTGTCAGTCACCCCCAAGTGTCCTCCCAGCATCTTCCTCCCCTCCCTGCCCTCCCATCATCTTCCTCCCCGTTCCAGTTCTCCCATCCCCTTCTACCCCTCTTGAGCTCTCCCATCCTCTTCCTCCCTTCTCCATCTCTCCCATTCCTGCTCTTCCACCGTTTTGCTTCCTTCTCCATCTCCCCATCCTCTTCCTCCCTTCTTCACCCACACCTTCTTCCCTCTCCAACCCTCCTATCCTCTCCCTCTCCTCCTCCCCTTTCCACCTCCACCATCCTTTTCCTCCTCTCTCCAACCCTCCCATCCTCTTCCTCCCCATTCCAGCTCTTTCACACCCTTCCCTCTCTGACCTCCCACCCTCTTCCTCCCTTCTCTATCTCTCCCATTCTTCCTTCCTTCTTCAGCCTTCCCATTCCTGCTCTCCCACCCTCATCATCCCCTCTCCAGCCCTTCCACTGTTTTCCTCCCATCCTTTTCCTCCTTCTCCAGTCCTTCCATCCTTGCATTCCCATCCTCTTCCTCCCCTTTCCACCTCCACTGTCCTTCTCCTCTCTCCAACCCTCCCATCCTCTTCCTCCCTTCTTCAAATCTCTCATCCTTTTCTTCCCCTCTCCATCTCCCCATCCTCTTCCTCCCTTCTGCCCTCCCATCTTCTTCCCTCTCCAACCCTCCCATCCTCTTCCTCCCCATTCCAAGTCTTCCACACTCTTTCCCACCCTCCCATCCCCTTTCTCCCCACTCTGACCCTCCCACCCTCTTCCTCCCCTCTCCAGCCCTTCCATCCTCCTCTCCCTGCCTCTCCCTGCTCTTCCTCACCTCTCCCTGCTCTTCCTCACCTCTCCCTGCTCCTCCTCCCTCCCCAGCCCTTCGTGGAGGTGGCGGTGAAGCACCACAACCGCTACGAGGCCAAGAAATACGCGCCCCGCGTGCCGCCCGAGCAGCGCGTCAAGGCCTTCGTCCTCGTGGGGTGCGTCAGGGACACCCAGGGACCCTCGGGGGACATCCAGGGACCCTCAGGGGACATCCCAGGGACCCCCAGGGGACATCCAGGGACCCTCGAGGGACATCCAGGGGACCCTCAGGGGACATCCAGGGACCCTCAAGGGCCATCCAGAGACCCTCAGGGGACATCCCGGGGACCCCCAGGGGGCATCCAGGGACCCTCGGGGTGTACATCCACGGGACCCTTTGGAGGGATATCCAGGGGACCTTCAGGGGGACGTCCAGGGGATCCTCAGGGGACATACACCCAGGGACCCTCAGGGGGACATCCCAGGGACCCTCAGGGGACATCCAGGGACCCTCGGGGGGGTACATCCTCGGGACCCTTTGGAGGGATATCCAGGGGACCTTCAGGGGGACGTCCAGGGGATCCTCAGGGGACATCCAGGCAACACTCGGGAGGACATCCATAGGACCCTCTTGGGGACATCGAGGGGACACTCGGGGGCTACATCTGGGGGACGCTCTGGGGGGATATCCAGGGGATCCTTGTGGAGACATCCTGGGAATCCTCAGGGGGACATCCAGGGGACCCTCAGGGGACATCCTGGGGACCCTCATGGGACATCCAGGGGACCCCCAGGGGACCCTCAGGGGGACATCCAGGGGAGCCTTAGAGGTACCTCCAGGGGACCCTTGGGGGGACATCCAGGGGACTCTCAGGTGGACATCCCGGGGATACTCAGGGGGGACATCCAGGGAACCCTCAGGGGTGACATCCTGGGGAACCTCATGGGACATCCAGGGAACCCTCAGGGGTGACATCCTGGGGACACTGAGGGGGAAGTCCACGGGATCCTCGGGGGGACATCCTTGGGACCCTCGGGGGGGACATCCAGGGGACCCTCATGGGGACACCAGGCTGTGGAAACACGCAGTGGGACTCCCTGTGTGGCAGCAGCGGGGATTTGGGGGTGACACCGTGTGGGGCTTTGGGGACGCCGGGAGCCGCCGGGGCGGTGGGACAGCGTTGAGAAGTGAGGGTGCCCCGTGTCCCCGTGCTGTCCCCACCCCGTGCTGTCCCCTGACGGCTCGCTGGTGTCACAGGGACCTGGAGCAGGCGGCCGAGGCGGCCATGGAGCGCAGGAGCGAGGCCGAGATGAGCCTGGTGCTGGCTCGGTGCTGCCCCGGCACCGACAGCGCCCTGGCCGACAGGCTCACCCGGGCACGGGCACAGCTCCTCAAAAAGTGACCCTGGGCACTCCGGGGACACCGCGGGACACCGCAGGGACACCCTGGGGACACCCCCATGGACACCACAGGGACACCACCAGGGACACCACCAGGATATCCCATGGACACTTCCAGGGATACCCCGTGGACACCCCCGGGGACACCCCCAGGACAGCCCATGGACACCACCTGGGATACTCCATGGACACCCCTAGGATACCGTAGGGACACCCCCATGGACACCCCCAGGACCACCCCCATGGACACCCCATGGACGCTCCCAGGGACACTGCAGGGAGACCCCCCCAGGACACCACAAGGACACCCCCATGGACACCCCGGGGACACCCCAGGACACCACAGGGACACCCCCGAGGACACCCCCAGGGACACCCCGGGGACACTTGGGGGGCTGGGTTTGGGGGCACCCCATGGACACCACCAGGGATACCCCCATGGACACCCCATGGACACCCCCGAGGACACCCCCAGCCCCCCCAGGGTGTCCCTGTCCTCTGGAAGCTGCTCCCGGCCTTGTCCCTGCTGGATGGATGGCAGAGGTGGCACCGCTGGGGACAGGGCTGTCCCCTCCCTGCGTGTGCAATAAAGAGAAGAGCTCCGTGTCCTGGGCCACCGAGGAGGGCGTGGGGGCCTTGGGGACACCGGGATGGTGGGAGGGGACAGTCGGGGACACAGCGGGGCTTCAGGAGCGGTTCCAGGGAGGGGAGGTCACCGGGTGTCCCCAAGGGTCACTTGGGGGGACATTGCTGGGGTCGTTGGGGGGAGGTTGCGGGGAGCTCTGGGCAGATATTGGGGGTGACACTGGGGGGACATTGGGGAGTTCCTGGGAGGACACTGGGGGGACATTTGAGGGGTCCCGGGGGGACATTTGAGGGGGACATTGTGGGGACATTGTGGGGGGGTCCTTGGGAGGACATTGGGGGGTACGTTGTGGGGGTCATTGGGGGGACATTGTGGGAGGCCCATTGGAGGGACATTGGGGAGTCCCTCAAGTGACATTGAGGGAGGTCCTTGGGGGTATATTGGGGAGTCCTTGGGGGGACACTGGTGGGTCCCGGGGGGACATTGTGGGGACACGGGGGGGGGTCCGTCCCCGCTCTATCTCGCTCGTCCGGCAGGGGGCGCCGCAGGGCCGGCGAGGCCCCGCCCCTTTTGCGTCACGTGCCGCTCCCCGCGCCGCCCCGCGGTGCATTGTGGGATCGCAAAGATGGCGGCGCTCAGCGCGGGCCGGGCGGCGGCGGCGGTGAGGGGGGGACGAGACAAGGGCGGTGAGGGGACAGCGGGCACAGCCCCGGGGACTGGGGACACACAGCGAGGGGGGACATCGCTCTGCGGTGGGGAATCGGGTTAGGGGCGGCGGGCAGGGTCAGGGGGGTCAAACGGGCTCTGACCTCATCCTTCTCTGGGCTGTGAGGGGTGAGGGGTCACTGAGGGCTTGGGGGGGTCCGTGAGGGGTCAGGCAGGGTCTGGGGGCGGTCAGACGGGTCTGGGGGGATCCGTGAGGGGTCATTGAGGGTTTGAGGGGATCCNGGGGTCAGTGAGGGGTCAGACGGGTCTGGGGGGTCCGTGAGGGGTCAGACGGGTCGGGGGGCTCAGTCTGGGGCACAGTGTGAGGTGAAGGCCGGCTGGGTTCAGTTTGGGGGTGCGGGAGGTTCAAGCTGGATTGTGGGGGTGTCGTTTTGGGGGTGACATTTTTGGGTCAGGGAGGACTTTAGGGGTGGGGGGCACCCCCTGAGGGGGCTCTCTGACCTGTGGCACCCCCAGGGCCTCCTGCGTGCCCAGAGCCTCGGGGCATGGCGGGGGCTGGGCACCTCGGCCACCCTCCTGCAGCAAGCCCAGGCCAAGGTGAGGAGGGGCTGGTGGGGCAAAGGGGGCTCAGGGGGGAACTCCTGACCCCCCAAACCTCCCTGAGAGGAGAGGGGGGGGTCGGAGACAAGGGGAAAAGGCCTCAGGGGAGGTTTGGGTGGGATATTGGGAAGAAGGGCAGAGGGGTTTTCACCCTGGGCATGTGGCACTTGGGGACACGGCCGGTGGTGGGGGGTCCCTGGGGCTTTTCCCAGCCAGGAAATTCCCTGATTCCATGGGAAATGTGACTGAGGGAAGGGCTGAGCCCCGAGGGTGACCTTGAGGCACTGCCCTTCCCTCAGCTCTGCCTCCTGGCATTTCACATTTCTGCCCTGGACATTTGATTCCAGCTTATTTAAAGCTCCCCATTTGTCACTCTCAGCTTTCCTTCCCTCCCTCCCTCCTTCCTTCCCCGTTCCCTCTGGGGTTTGGGGTTTCCCTGGGAATTCCCTGGGCTGGGTTTGGGGGGTTTGAGCTGGGAGCAGCTCCCAGCAGGGAATTCCGGGCTGGGGAAGGAGGGGAGGGATGGGAGGGACAGCCCAGGAGTGATCAGGGAGATTCTCCTGTGGTCTGGGCCACGAAAATGGGGCTTGGCAAAATTCCAGGAGCTCCTGAGGGCAGGGAAAAGGACTGAGGGGATTTGGGAACACCAGGCTGTGCTGGGATATTGGGGAAATTCCTCCTGGAAAGAGAAGGGGGGAATCCCCACCCTTGGAGAGATTTGGGTGGGATGTTGGGGAAATTCCTCCTAAAAATGGCTGTCCAGAATTCCAGGAGTTCCTTAAGGCAGGGAGAAGGAGTGAGGGGATTTAGGAGCACCAGGTTGTCCTGGGATATTGGGGAAATTCCTTCTGGAAAGAGAAATGGGGAGTCTCCATCCTTGGAGAGATTTGGGTGGGATGTTGGGGAAATTCCTCCTAAAAATGGCTGTCCAGAATTCCAGGAGTTCCTTAAGGCAGGGAGAAGGAGTGAGGGGATTTAGGAACACCAGGCTGTGCTGAGATTGGATATTGGAGAAATTCCTCCTGGAAAGAGAAATGGAGAGATCTCATCCCTGGATTTGGGTGGATTATTAAGGAAATTCTTGCTAAAAATGATTGTTCAAAATTCCAGGAGTTCCTTAAGGCAGGGAGAAGGAGTGAGGGGATTTAGGAACACCAGGGGATATTGGGGAAAATTTGATACTGGGGAAATTCCTCTTGGAAAAAGAAGGGGAGAGTCCCCATCCCTGGAGGGATTTGGGTTGGATATTGGGAAAATTCCTCCTGAAATGATTGTCCAGAATTCCATGGGATCCTGAGGACAGGGCGAAGGGGATTTAGGAACACCAGGCTGTGCTGGGATATTGAGGAAATTCCTCCTGGAAAAAGAAATGTGGAGACCTCCTCTTTGGAGAGATTTGGGTTGGATACTGGGGAAATTCCTGCTAAAAATGATTGTCCAAAATTCCATGGGATCCTGAGGGCAGGGAGAAGGAGTGAGGGGGTTTAGGAACACTGGGCCATGCCTGGATAGTGGGTTGGATATTGGGGAAATTCCTCCTGGAAAGAGAAGGGGGGAATCCCCACCCTTGGAGAGATTTGGGTGGGATGTTGGGGAAATTCCTCCTAAAAATGGCTGTCCAGAATTCCAGGAGTTCCTTAAGGGCAGGGCAAAGGAGTGAGGGGATTTAGGAGCACCGGGCTGTGCTGGGAGCTGCCGGGACTCCCTCTGGGCAGAGGCTGAGGTTGTGTCTGGAGCAGGACAAGGTCTCTCCGTGGTGTCGGGTGTGCTCAGGGCTGCTGTCACCCCGGGGTGGCACAGGGACAGGGACAGGGACAGCTCCGTGGAGGGCTGGCTTTGGGCCCCTCGGGACACGCTGGAGCGTGCCCAGGGAAGGGATGGATTTGGGGAGGGGGCTCAGCCTGGAGGAAAGGGGGTCAGGGGATCCCTGGGGCTCTGCACAGCTCCTGCCAGGAGGGGACAGGGACAAAGGGACACGGCCCCAGGCTGTGCCAGGAGAGGGTTGCATGTCCCCAAGGGTCCCCTGGGGGGACGTTTTGGGGATTTTCCTCCTGGGAAGGGCTGCCCAGCCCTGCTCAGCTGTGGAGTCCCCATCCCTGGGGGGTTTCCCAGCCCCGTGGATGTGACACTTGGGGACAAAGCTCAGTGGTGGCCTTGGCACTGCAGGGCTTTCCCAGGCCGAACATTCCGTGTCCCTGTGGGTGTGACGTGGGCCAGGTCCCCGGGGGGTCCCTTTGGGGATGTTTTTGGGGTGACCCCGCCGTGTCTCCGCAGTCCCACAGGGCTGAGGGGACATTCCAGGTGACAATGCTGCCGGGGGATGGCGTGGGCCCGGAGCTGATGCACGCTGTCAAGGAGGTCTTCAAGGTATGGCCTTGAAGGGACACCAGCAGCAGCTGGCCCTGAGTGTCCCTGCCTGTCCCTGAGTGTCCCTAAATGTCCCTGATGTCCCTGCGTGTCCCTTCTTGTCGCTGAGTGTCCCTGCATGCTCCTGAGTGTCCCTGAGTATCTCTGAATGTCCCTAAACGTCCCTGCCTGTCCCTGAGTGTCCCTAAATGTTCCTGCGTGTTCCCACATGTCACTGAGTGTCCCTGTGTGTCACTGAGCATCCCTAGATGTCCCTGGTGTCCCTGAGTGTCCCTGCATGTCCCTAAATGTCCCTGCTTGTCCTTGTGCCCCCTGTCCCCAGTGGTGCTGCCCACGGGCAGAGGGTGGGTCCCCTGTCCTGGAGGGATTTGGGATATTGGGATGATTGGACTGGGGATAATTTGGGATATTGGGAAAATTCCTCCTAAAAATGGCTCCCAGAGGAGAATCCCCATCCCTGGAGGGATTTACCAGCCCTGTGGATGTGACACTTGGGGACATCCCAAGGGGTGGCCTTGGCAGTGCTGGGGGTTTTTCCCAAGTGAAATATCCCATGGCTCCATCAGTGCCACTGAGGTGATCCCAGCTGTCCCTGAGCACGGCCCCGGCTGGCTCAGGGCTCCGTGTCCCCCTGAGGTGACCCTGGGTGGCCCTGGGTGGCCCTGTCCCTGTCCCAGGCTGGCAATGTCCCCGTGATCTTCGACGAGCACCACCTGAGCGAGGTGCAGAACACGGCGTCCGAGGAGAAGCTGGACCGGGTGGTGGACTCCATGAAGGAGAGCAAGGTGGCCCTCATTGGTGAGCCCTGTCCCTGTCCCTGTCCTGTCCCTGTCCTGTCCTGTCCCTGTCCTGTCCCTGTCCCTGTCCCCCCCAGCCCCGAGGCAGTGCTGACCCCTCAGGCTGTGCCAGGGGAGGGATTTCTGGGATATTGGGACAATTCCCCCGTGTCCTGCAGGGAAGATCCACACGCCCATGGAGTACAAGGGAGACCTGGCGTCCTATGACATGAGGCTCAGGTGAGGGGAGTTAATTAATTAATCATTAATGAGTTATGGGCGAGAGGAGAAGGCTGAGGGATTCTGTGTGGGCTGGGAAACAAAACCTTCAGTGGGACCCTGAGGGGTCCTGGAGAGGGGGTGACCCCAGCTGTGTCCCCTGGGACTTGGAAGAGACAGTCACTAGGGAAGAAAAGATTAATTAATGTTTTTATTAATGTCATTATTAATTAATGAGCTATTGGGAGTCAAAATTCTGTGGTCTGGAGCTGTTCCTGCTGGCTGAACCTGCTTCCATGGAAGTTCTGGAGATGGTGGGGTGGATCCCAGAACTCATCACTGGGAAAACCCTGTTAATTAATAATTAATGAGTTATTGGGAAGCAAAACTCCTGAGGGGTGATCCCTGGCCAGGAGCTGTCCCTGCTCGCCGTGGGGTCCTGCAGAGGGAAGCTGTGTCCCCTGGGACTTGCAGGGGACAGTCACTGGGGAAGAAAACATTAATTATTAATTAATGAGTTATTGAGTGGCAAAGCTCCCTAGCCTGGAGCTGTCCCTGTTGACTCATCCTGCTTCCCTGGAAGTTCTGGAGGTGGTGGGGTGGATCCCAGAACTCATCACTGGGAAAACCCCGTTAATTAATAATTAATGAGTTATTGGGAGTGTCCCCTGGGACTTGCAGGGGACAGTCACTGGGAAAAAATCCATTAATTAATAGTTAATGAGTTACTGGGAAGGGAAATTCCCGAGGGACCATCCCTGGCCAGGAGCTGTCCCTGCTCACCGTGGGGTCCTGCAGAGGGGGTGACCCCAGCTGTGTCCCCTGGGACTTGCAGGGGACAGTCACTGGGGAAAAATCCGCTAATTATTTATTAATGAATTATTGGGAGGCAAAACTCCATAGCCTGGAGCTGTCCCTGTTGACTCATCCTGCTTCCCTGGCAATTCTGGAGGTGGTGGATCCCAGAACTCATCACTGAGAAAACCCCGTTAATTAATAATTAATGAGTTATTGTGAGGCAGAATTCCCGAGGGACCCTCCCTGGCCAGGAGCTGTGGGGTCCTGCAGAGGGGGTGTCCCCAGCGCTCAGAGGGGACAGGGTGTCCCTGTCCCCAGGAGGAAGCTGGACCTGTTTGCCAACGTGGTGCACGTGAAGAGCCTCCCGGGATACCAGACCCGGCACAACAACCTGGACCTGGTGATCATCCGGGAGCAGACCGAGGGCGAGTACAGCTCCCTGGAGCACGAGGTACTGCCACCCACAGGGCACAGCTCCAGGCAGCCCTGCGAGCCTGGGGGGCTCCAGCAGGGCTGGAGAGGGGAAAAGAGGGAAAAGAACTGAGAAAAAGGGGAAAAGGAATGGTTGGATTTAAGGGATAGGGATCAGGGATGATAAAAGTAGCAGGCAAGGGCTGGAGGGACAGGACACAGGGAATGGCTTCCACTGGGAAAGGGGAGATTGGGATGGGATCTTGGCAAGGAATTCCTGGCTGGGATGGAATTCCCAGAGCAGCTGTGGCTGCCCCTGGATCCTTGGAAGTGTCCAAGGCCAGGCTGGATCCACCTGGGATGGTGGGAGGTGTCCCTGTCCATGGATGGGGTGGGAATAGATGGGATTTAAGGTCTTTTCCAACTTAAACCATTCCAGGATTGTGGAGCTCTTTTGCTCTGGGAGAGCTGGGAATGTTCTCCTGGAGAAGGGAAAAATCCTCAGAGTCCCTGGAGGGGCTCCAGGAGAGCTGCAGAGGGACTGGGGACAAGGCCTGCAGGGACAGCACACAGGGAATGGCTCCCACTGGCAAAGGGCAGATTGGGCTGGGATCTTGGCAAGGAATTCCTGGCTGGGAGGGTGGGCAGGGGCTGGGCTGGAATTCCCAGAGCAGCTGTGGCTGCCCCTGGATCCCTGGCAGTGCCCAAGGCCAGGTTGGATGGATTTGGATCCACCTGGGACAGTGGGAGGGGGTCCCTGGGTGGGATGGGATCAGCTCCAAGGTCTCTCCAACCCACCCCATTCCCTGCTCGGCACTCTGGACCTGCCTGGAGCAGTGGAATTAGGGAATATTTTGGGACAGGAGCACACCCAGCCCCAGTGAGGAATGGGGTGGCTGCAGGGGGACAACGCCTGGCAAAAGGGACAGTGGCACATGGATTGTCCTGGGTTAACGCTGGCCAGGAATGGAGACACCAGCGGGGAGGAGAACTGGACAGAAAAGGCAAACCTGGGTTGAGATTAGAACAAATTAATAATTGAAACAAAATGGTGATGATGATGAGAAAAATTCAATAATTGAAACAAGATGATGATGATAAGAACAATTCAGTAATTGAAACAAAATGATGATGATAAGAACAATTCAATAATTGAAACAAAATTATGATGATGAGAACAATTTAATAACTGAAAAAAATTTGATAAGAAATATATAGTAATTGGAACAAAATTTTAATGATAAGAAATATTTGATTGAAAAAAATCACGATGGTAAGAATTAATAAATATAAATACGTGTAAGAATAATAGATATAATAATACATGTAACATATAATAAATGTGGTGAATAGTAATAATTAATGATAATGATAATAATAGTAGTAATAATAAATGTGATGATAAGGAGAGGAAAGGGAATATTAATAATAGCAATAACAATACTGATAAATGATGACAGCACTAGGGAAGGGAGGAGAGCGCAGGGCAGGACGGGTGCCGGGGCAGGACAGGTGCCAGTGCCAGGACAGGTGCCAGTGCCAGGGCAGGACAGGTGCCAGGGCAGGTGCCAGGGCAGGACAGGTGCCAGTGCCAGGACAGGTGCCAGTGCCAGGGCAGGACAGGGGCCAGGGCAGGTGCCAGTGCCAGGGCAGGCCGGGCTGGCCGTGCCCAGGCTGTGACCCCCTGTGCCCCCAGAGTGCCAAGGGCGTGATCGAGTGCCTCAAGATCATCACCAGGGCCAAGTCCCAGCGCATCGCCAAGTTCGCCTTCGACTACGCCACCAAGAAGGGCCGGGCCAAGGTCATAAGGAGGTGGCTGAGCTGTACCCCAAGATCAAATTCGACACCATGATCATCGACAACTGCTGCATGCAGGTGAGCCACGCCCCCCGGGCCACACCCCCGGGCTGGCCACGCCCCTGTGTCCCCATCCCTTGTCCCTGTCCCTGGTCCCTTCCCAATCCCCCCCTGAGGAGCTGGAACCTCCAAGGCTGGGCACACTGAGCCCACCTGGCCCCAGGGTTGTCCCCGTGCCAGGCAGGAGCCCCCCCAGCATTCCCAACATTCCCAGCACTCCCAGCTGTGTCTCACCTGGCCTTGCCCAGCCTGTGGCTCCAGGGCCATCCCAGTGCTGCTCCTGGGGGGAATTTGGGGACCTGGGTTCCTGCAGCCTCACTGGGGCTGGGCATGTTTCTATCCCTAAAAATTCCCCTTTATATCCCTAATAATTCCCCTTCACATCCCTAAAAACTCCCCCAGTCCCCTCCCTGCTGCTCCAGGCAGGTGTGCCAAGCATGGAATGATCTGGGTTGGAGACACCTGGGAGCTCATCCAGCCCCACACCCCTGGGAGCTCATCCATCCCCTCCACACCGGGGAGATCATCCAGCCCCACACACCTGGGAGCTCATCCATCCCCTCCACACCGGGGAGATCATCCAGCCCCACACACCTGGGAGCTCATCCATCCCCTCCACACCGGGGAGATCATCCAGCCCCACACACCTGGGAGCTCATCCATCCCCTCCACACCGGGGAGATCATCCAGCCCCACACACCTGGGAGCTCATCCATCCCCTCCACACCGGGGAGATCATCCAGCCCCACACACCTGGGCTCTGCCCCCTGTCCCAGGGTGGGGCTGAGCTTCCCCCCAGCTGTTCCAGGCCTCACTGCCCCATTCCCATTCCCATTCCCATCCCAGCTGGTGCAGAACCCCTACCAGTTCGACGTCCTGGTGATGCCCAACCTCTACGGGAACATCGTGGACAACCTGGCCGCGGGGCTGGTGGGCGGCGCCGGCGTCGTGCCCGGCGAGAGCTACAGCGCCGAGTACGCCGTGTTCGAGCTGGTGAGGAGGGGCATTCCGGGGGCATCCCAGAGGGGATTCCCAAGGCTGGCAGGGTGGGGTGATCCTGTCACCGTGCCCTGTGTCCCACAGGGAGCCCGGCACCCCTTCGCCCAGGCCGTGGGCAGGAACATCGCCAACCCCACGGCCATGCTGCTCTCGGCCTCCAACATGCTGCGGCACCTCAAGTACGTGCTGGGCTCTAAAGGGGGGTTTGGGGCGTCTGGGGGGGCTTCTGAGGGGCTGACCCCCTGTCTCCCCGTCTTTTCCAGCCTGGAATACCACTCCAACATGGTCTCGGACGCGGTGAAGAAGGTGATCAAAGGTGGAAAAGTGAGTGCGGGACAGTGGGTAGGGCTGGTGGTGCCTGGGTCACAGTCTCTGCTCTCTTCTTCCCAGCTGGAATTCTGGTTCTTCTCTTCTTCCCAGCTGGAATTCTGGTTCTTCTCCTCTTTCCAGCTGGAATTTTGGTTCCTCTCTTCTTTCCAGCTGGAATTCTGGCTCCTCTCCTCTCTCCAGCTACAATCCCAGACCCACAGCTGTGTCCAGCCCCTGTGGTCATGAGGGAGGGACTTCAGGCAGAGCTGGGGATCCTCCATGGCCTTGTCCCCATTTGGGTTCTCACAGAGCTCTCAGGGACCTTTCCACGTCCCCGTGTCCACCCCAGGTCCTGGCAGGGCTCTCAGGGATGTTCCACAGCCCCGTTCCCACCCCAGGTCCTGGCAGGGCTCCGGAGGGTCCCCGCTGTCTCTCTGCTGTCCTGTCCCCCTCCCGGCCGTTCCTCCGTTCACCAGCGCCTCCTTCCCGTTTCTCCCCTCCCTGTGTTGGATTTGCAGGTCCGGACGCGGGACCTGGGCGGTTACTCCACCACTTCCGACTTCGTCAAGTCCGTCATTGACAACCTGCACCCCAACTATGGGGCTTAGGACCCCCGGCAGCTCCCCCAGCGCCTCGGCCCCCTCCCCAAATGCCCTCCCAGCCCCCCAGTAACGCTTTACCCTTCCCCATCCCCCACAGGAGGCGGCCAGTGCAGATTTTGGGGTTTATGGGGTGGTTTTGGGGGATGGGGCAGTGCCCCTAAATCATAGGCAGCTCCTAGGGACATCGGGACCACCCAGCATGGCTCTGGAACCCCCATTCCCATGGGATCCCCTTTATTGGATTATCATTCCTGTGGGACCAGTGGGATTCTCGGATCCCTGTGAGAACAGGACCTGGGACTGTGGGACTCCCATTCCTATGGGGTCATTTTGCCTGTTGGACCGGTGGGATTTGTGGGATCCTTGTGAAAGCAGGACCTCAGACTCTGGAAGCCCCATTCCCATGGGATCCCTGTGACTGCTGGACCAGTGTGGGTGTGGGATTCTTGTGGGACCTCCATTCCCATGGGATCCTTGGAAATGTGGGACCAGTGTGATTGTGGGATCCCTGTGACCCCATTCCCATGGGACCAGTGTGACTGTGGGATCCCTGTGACCCCATTCCCGTGGGACCCATCCCATGCAGCTTTCAGCAATAAACAGGGTGATGTCCCCCACCCTCCACCCCCAAGGCAGCTGCTGGCACAGGGACCCCACGCAGGGACAATTCCAGGCGTGGGGTGACCCTGGAACACTCCAAACCTGGGAAGGGGTGGGGAGGTGCACCCTGTGCCCCCCAATCCATGGGAATTGGGGAGCTGCAGGGCTCTGATCCCACAACTGCTGTGCCCGGGGGGCCAGGCCCGGTGCCACCCCGGGCTGTGCCATCGTGTAACGCTCTGTATTCTGCTTTGCTAATAAAGGGTCCAACGCTTCCCTCCAGCCCTGCCCTGGGGCAGCTTTTGGGGTGCTGGGGCTGCTGAGCTGGGGGGGCAATGCTGAAACCAGAGCTCCAGCTGGAGTTTGGGGCACCCCTGAGCCGTGTGGGGCAGAGGAGTCACCAGCCCCTCTGCATGTCCCCAGGGCACAGGGACACTTTTGGGGGTGCAGAGGGCTCCAGGGAGCCCATCCCCAGTGTCACAGCCCAGCCTGGGGCTGGGGGGACCCCGCTTTTGCAGGTCCCCTGCTGGTCCCCCTAACCTCCCGTCTCCTTGCAGGTGCGCACGGCGGACATGGGGGGCTACTCCACCTCCATGGATTTCACCCAGGCTGTGATAGATGCCCTGGAGGTGCAGTGACCTCACCCCTGCCCCTGGCGACTCCAATAAAGTGGCCTTAGGTGTGACCGTGCTGCTGTCAGCGTCCCTGGGCCCGGGCAGGCTGCTGGTGACAGGGTGACCCCCGTGGGGACAGCCTGGGCACCCCCTGCCACGGAGCAGGACAGGAGGGATCAGCAACGACCTCAGCCCTTTATTGGGGTTTGGGCACCACGAGCGGGGCCTGGCCTGCACTGCACAGGGGACACGGCCTGGGGACAGCCCCACGCAGCACAAGGTCCCCAAGGAAGGGGACACGGCCTGGGGACAGCCCCGCGCAGCCCAGGACCCCAGGGAAGGGGACACGGCCTGGGGACAGCCCCACGCAGACAAGGTCCCCAGGGAAGGGGACACAGGGCTGGAAGTTCCACTCTGTAAGGCACAGTCCCGGGCTGCTGGTGGCCAGAGGGACTCACCCAGGCCACAAGGGGCTGTGACACGTTCCAAGTGGCCACGGTGGCACAGGACGCAGCTGGGGACACCTCGGGGTTGTGGTGTCTCCAGTGGCCACTCCTGGCTGCTGCCTGTCCGTCAGTCTGTCAGTCCATGTGCTGACTGCTCCCTAATCCTCCTCCGAGTCCCGAGCCACTGCCTTCTTCTTCTTCTTCTTTTTCTTCTTCTTTTCCTCCTCCTCCTCCTCTTCCTCCTCAGGCTCTGCCATGACTTTCCTTTTCTTCTTGGGCAATGGCTCCTCCTCTTCCTCCTCCTCCACCCCGTTCTCCTCTGGCTCTGGCTCTGACTCCTCTGGCTGCTGCTGCTTCTTTTTCTTCTTCTTCTTCTTGGCCCCCACGTCATTCTCCTGTGGGGAGCCCCACATCAGCTCTGACCCCATCCTCCCTCCCCTCATGGGGGGTACAGACATCCCCCTCACCATCAGGAGCATCCAGGACCCCCCAAAAGGGTCTCGCCCCCTCCCTCTCACCTCTGTCTCCATCACAGAGTTCTCTGCTGCCTCCTCAGCAGCTGCTGCCAGGGCTTCCAGCCGCCGCTTCTCCCTCTTCTTCCTCTTCTTCTCCTTCTTCTCCTGCCTCCTTTTCACCTCAGCCACCACCTCGTTGGCCTGGGGACACACAGGGGACGTGAGCCAGGGCAGGGTCCCAGCGTTTGTCCCCACACCTGGCCCTGGTCGGATCAGACTCATTAAATCAGTCTTTGGCCTCCACAGTGGGTCAGGATGGCACAGTGACATCACCTCCGACACGGGCCCTCGCCTTCATCCCCCAGCACCTCAGCATCACCCTCATCATCAGAGGATCTCACCTTCATCACCCTCATCATCTCCACCACCTTCACTGCCCCCACAGCTCCCATTCACAATCTCCATCCTCTGGTACCTCACTACTGCCATCTTCATCTCCCCCAGGACCTCACCTCCATCATCTTCACCGCCCCAACACTTTCATCACTTTCACCTCAACACCTCACCTCCATCTTTGTCTCCCCCAAGATCTCACCTCCTCTTCCTCCATCTCTCCCACTGCCTCCATTTGTCACCCTCACCACCCTTCTCCATCCCTCAGCATCCCCTCCTCCTCTTCCTCCTCACCTCCACCACGGCCTCCTTCATCACCTCCAGGTTCTTGCGGGGCGGCTCCCCGGTCTCGTAGAAGGCCAAGCGCTCCTCCACCTGCTCCCGCAGCTTGTCCCCAAAGACACTGGTGGGGACCTCTGCGGGGAGGGGACAGGGGGGGCTCAGCACTCACCCTGCACCCCCAAACCCCCTTGAGCCCCCCCGTGCTCTGCTCAGCCCACAGGAGTCACCATTCACCGCGGTGAGATGCTGTTGACGAAAAATGTTCCCATCACGGCAGAGCGGCCCTGAATCCCCCCGAGTGCCCTCCCCGTGCCCACCCGGGCACCGAGTGACAGTGCCCAGCACGTCTGTGCCCCCTAAGCCCCCCGCCCACCTGAGAAGCAGTCGATGCGCGAGGCAATGGTGCACTTGTTGGCCAGGTAGCGCGAGATCCGCCCCTTGTTCTTGGCGGCCGCGCGCCCGATGAAGGTGGAGTGGAAGATGAGCCCGTACTTGGGGGTGTTCCCCCGCGTCTTCAGCGCCCTGCGAGTGCCCAGGGTGTGGGGTCAGGACCCCCGAACGCCACCCCCACCCACGGACAGCCCCTCCCCAGCCCGCTGTGCTCCGGGGGTCGCTCAGACTGGGGCCGGCTGCTCACCCCCAGCGAGTCACAGCCGCGGCCCCGCGGCCGCCATCACCGCGACCGCCCGCGGTACCTGAACAGGGCCTTCTCGGCACCCAGGATCTGCACCGTCGACGCCGGGTACTTGGCCAGGTTGGTCAGGCTGCCAGCGTGAGAGATGAGGCGGGCGCCCACCTGGGGGACAGCACGGGGGGGTTACGGGTGGCTCCGAAGCCCCCAAGGGCAGGGAGAGTCCCCACGGGCCGCGGATCAGCAGTGGAAGCGTCAGCAGCGCAACTCAGTGGATTGACAGATTCACTCTGACATCATCTCCGCGGCTGGGCAGGGGACAGGGGGGTCTCTGGGGACACTCACCACCTCCCCGATGAGGGCTGACAGGCTGGGGGCCACCTGGCTCATCTTGGAGCGCAGGTACTCCTGCAGCCCCTTGCGGTAGTCGGACAGCGAGATGACGCGGCGGGAGAAGCTCTCGATGTTGATGAGGTCCAGGGGGGAGATGTCCATCCCTGGGGGTGGCACCGGGTGAGCGGCAGCACTGGGCACGAGGCCAGGCCCCCCCGAGCCCCTCAGAGCCCCCCTCACCCATGGAGGAGCGCGAGGCCTCCAGGATGGCCTGGGCCTTGGCGCTGTCCATGACGATCTCCTCCAGCCCCTCCAGGCTCTCCTCGCTCAGCTCGCGGCGGTTCCCGATGAATTTGGCCACCCGGCAGTACATGGAGTTCTCGGGGACGATCTTGATCAGCTCGGGGAAGTGGTACCCGTACCACTCCCTGCGGGGACAGGACACGGTCACTGGTGCCACCCAGGCCCCACCCCAGCTCTGTGCGTCCCCAGGCCACCCCACCCTGTTCCCAAGTGTCCCCCTGGTCCACGCCGTGGCCCTGTGGCCCGGCCAGTGGCCCCTGGGGAGCTGCTGTCCCTCCCCGGTCTGTACAGGCAGCTGGAGCAGCGGCAGCTGCCTGTGGTAAGCATGGGGAGGGAGGGAGGGAGGGGGACCCCCAAAAACCCTCTAAACCCCCCAAAACCTGTCCCCACTGACCGGACACGCATGGAGAAGGTGTTGATGTCCTTGTCCAGCTGGTCCAGCAGGCTGATGGACTGGATGATCATGTTGTCCACCCGGTGCACGTTGAACTTCACCTTGGCCCGGGAGTAGCTGTGGCCGAGCCCCAGCTGGGCCTTGGCCGCCGACTGCGCCGTGAGGCCCCGCACCAGCGCCGGGAAGTGCAGCCGGATCCCTGCGGGGACACGGGGTCACCACGGGGGGACAACGGTGCCACCGCACGGACACTGAGCTGCCACCACGTGCAGCCCCAGGGACGCCGCACAGCCACGGCACCGGGTCCCCCCCGCTCCTCAGCCCTCCCAGGTGAATCCCGACTGAAGCAGGAGCCCACCGAGATGTCCCTTGTCCCCTCTGTCCCCGCTCACCTCGCATGAGCTCGGCCACGACGCCCCCGGTCTGGCACTGCACCCCCAGCTCCTCCAGCACCGCCGCGCCCATCTTGGCATCGCCCACCCCCAGCAGCACCTTCTTCCTCTTGGGGGGCAGCGCCGTGTCCAGCAGCAGCCGCAGGTCCTCGTGCAGGACTCCTGCGGGACACGGAGGGCTCAGGGCGGCCCGGGGGTCCCCGCGGGAGGGGGGTCCCGGTGTCCCCGGCCCCGCGCTCACCCTCGGACACGGCGTTCATGTTCTCCAGCGCGCTCTGCGCCGAGCGGAACGGCGAGAACGCCACGAGCTTCACCACGTTGTGGAACTTGCCCAGCGTGAGGACGCTCTCCTCCACCTGCGGGGCAGCCGGGGCGGGGCGGGGGCTGCGGTCAGCCCCGGGCACCGGGAGCGGCCCCGGCAGTGCGACCCCCCCGCCACCTCGGGCCTTCCCCGGGTTCCCGCCCCGCTCCTTCCACCTCTCTCCATCCCCGGTGTCCCCTCCTGCCCGCCCCTGTCCCTCCCCACGCCGTTCCCAGCCTCCCTCTCCCCGCTCCGCTCCCGTTCCTCCCGGTCCCCGCTCCCGCCGGTCCCGGTGCCGTACCTGCGGCAGGAGCAGGCCGATCTCCTCCACCTCCCGCACGGCGAACAGCGCGTACCCGGCCGCATGTTCGAACAGCACGTGCAGCAGCACCTGCGGCACCGAGGGCTCCGCTCACCGGGGGCGCCACCGCGGCCGCGCTCCCGCCCATCCCCGCGCCCGCCGCCCCCACGCGGCTGCCCCGGCTTCCCTCCGGCCCAGGCCCGTCCCGATGCGGTCGGAGGGGGCTCCTGGGTCCCTCCCCGCTCCCGATGGCGTCGGATGCGACGCGGGCCCGACCCTCACTCACCATCGTCCTGCCGCCACCGCCGCCGTCCGGAACTGACGCATTGTCCACGCCGGAACCCCTCCTCGTCCCGCCTCCACCAATCAGCGCCCACTGCACCGCGCCCTCCGCCAATCACCGCGGGTCTCCCTCGATGGGCCCGCCCCGCAGCCAATGAAGCAGAGGACGGGCTGACCCCGCCCCCTCAGCGGCGCCTACCAATCAGAGCCGGGATGGGGCGCTCCCTCCCGCCTTTTCCTGCGCGCCGGCCAATGGGAGACGCGCGCGCGCGCCCCGGCCCCGCCCCTTCCCGCGCAGGTCGGTGCGCGCGCGGCCGCACGTGGCGGGACCCGGCACCCCCCGGTGTCCCCCCGGTGTCCCCCCGGTGTCCCCCTGTCCCCCCCTGTCCCCCTCTGTCCCCTGCGGGGGCGCCCAGAGCGCTCCCGGTCCCCTCCTGGGACCCTCAGTGCCCTCCAAGTGTCCCCCCGGTCCCACCCGGGACCCCCAAATGTCTCCCGGTGCTCCCGGTGCCACCCCAGGATCCCCAAATGTCCCCGTGGTTCCACCCCGGCGCTCTC